GTGTAGGCTCTCAAACACTGAAATATGTTTCAAAGGAACTATGTGAACATGAGTTTTATTCTGATGCCTTAAAAAAAGGAAAGACACTTTTTTCACTACGTGGTCTTGTATGGACGGAGAAGAGTGGACTCTGGTTCCTGGATTCTTGTGATCTATGAGCAGCATCTACAAATAGGGAGTGGTGCTTGCAAAAAGGGGTGATTTTTTTTTTTTTTTTAATGACAGATATTTTTCAGAGTCAGCTTTTCTCATGGGGCCAGACTGGAGATTTTTACCTATGCTGTGGAATGTTAAATTCAATGGAATGTCCTGTAACAAGGTGGGTAGGGACAGAGAATGTGAGAGCACCATGCACTCTTATTTTCTCCTCCTACTATCATTTTTGCTGTTCAGGAGTTCAAGTTTAAAGGCAAAATGTTCCTTCTTAGTGAGTGTGGAGTTGAACACACGCATATTGATTTTTTGAATTCATAAGACTGTGGTTAAGGCCCCTGGGAACCTGAGCTCTCTTTATAAATACAAATATAAATAAATAAAGTGTGTGTGTGTGTGTGTGTGTGTGTGTGTATTCCCAAAAAAGAAGTTGTAATCTAAAAAAATAAATCTATAGTGCTCACATTTGATGGGCAAGAAAATTTGAGTACATAGGATTCAAATTGGTCCAAAATCAGTTCTTGCTTTAAAAAAGCATGACCACAGTAGACATTGGCTGTCTCTTGACTTGAAGATAATTATATTTTCTATTTCCTCAAGACAGCTTAGTGGAGCAAAAAGAGCATGGTGTTAGAGTCAGAAACCCAGGGTCAGGTCTTATCTCCTCATGAACTGCCTGTTTGACCCAGACACCTTTGTGTTTCTTAAGTACTAGCTCATATTCTTAGGACTAAAGAGTAGAATGTAGCTATATTAGATGATTTTTAAAGTTTTTCTTTTTGATTCGAATAGGCTATCGGTCATCAATACCCAAATTTCTTAATCTTTGAGCTCATCCCAAGATTTTGTCCTCATAAATTAACAGTTCTCAACTTTGGTTGCACCTTACAATCATGTGGGGAGCTTTAGGAGAATCCCAGTTCCCAGGCCATATGCCACACCAGTTCAATCAGAGCCTTTTGACAAAAAGCTTAGGTATCCATATTTTTTAAACTCCCCAGGTGATTACAATATGCAACCAATATTGAGAACTCCTGCTTTAGGTACAAGACAGGGAGAGGAACTGAAATAATATGACTGTTTCATTATGAACACAGAAATTGTGTCCATCTCGTTGCTTCCTGTATCCTTAGGACCTAACAAAACCTCTGGGACATAGTAGGTGCTCAGAGAATGGTCAACATTTTTAGTGCACTTTGGCCAATTCCTAAATGAAATAGGGCTTATCAAAAATGGTATTTACTTTGATCATTTTCACTTTGATCTTAGTCACTGAATAGTGACTCAATTCTCTACTACTGGTTGCTAGTGTAAACAATGAAGGAAAGTGAACGAATGGGTAATCCCATCGCACTGATACAATTCAACTATCCTTGAGATCAAAGTGAGGAAATCGTCTATCATCACATCCTCCAGAGAAGAGGCCCTTTGGAATCTAAAGACGTGTCTTCGACATGACTCCACACATCTAAGTGAAAATGAATAAAATGAAATGCCTAAGAATCCAGATGTGTCATTCATTCATTCAGCAGATAATTATGAAGTGCTCACATTGCACTACACACACTGTGACAGCCTGTTTTCGACTTTATCCATGAGGGTTTTATACCAGAATTAAACCTCTCTGTCCTGGACATCTTAACATGCAATGAATTAATTTCCTTCCTATGCGCATAGTATAGTTTTCGTTATATATCATCCTTGGGAAAATTGAAAATTTGAAAATTGAAAAAAAATTGAAAAAAAAGTCACTTAATTTTTTTTCTCTGTGGTTCAGATGACAAATTCCAGTTTAGACAGGATGCAAGTCTAGGGGATTAAATGACAAACAAAACAGAATACTTGCCTTTCAGAACAGTATTATCCAATAGAAGTTAATCGATGATAGAATTTTCTAAATGTATGCTGTTCAAAGGAGTGACCACTAGTCACATCTGACTACTGAGCCCTTGAGATACGGCCAGTGCAACTGAGGAACCAAATTTTTAATTTTCTTCAATATTAGTGAATTTAAATTGCAGTAGTCACCTGTGGCAAGTATCTCCCCTACCCAACAAGGCAGGTCTAGAATTTCACATTCCCATGGGGAAGAATGGCATACAAATGATCATAATCTGGGTGATAAGTGCTAATATGCAGTAAGCACAGAATGCTAGGAAAGCTCCTACGTGAGGAGGCCCATCCTAGGGAGGGGTAGTGATGAATCAGGGTAGAAATTTCCAAGGCGAAGTGACTTCCAGAATGAGACCCGAAGACCAAGAGATGGCATCTGGAAGGCAGTGGAAAGAGTACTAAGCAGATGGTTTAGGTATGTGAGAAAGGCCAGAAGGGAAAGAGGGCATTAAGAAATGGCGAAGAGGTATGGCAAGAACCTAGAAAAGCAGTGGGAGACAGGCACCTGAGGAGTCCAGACAGAAATGTTGGGAGCCAGGATCCAGGATATGAAGGAATTTAGGTGTCACAATATTTCAAGGTTAATGGGAAACGGGTGAAAAGTTTGAAATTGTGGAATGATATGATCATGTTTGTGGTTTAGAGAGATTTCCCTGGCTGCTGCTTAGCAGTGTGGAGGGAAAAACTAGAAACATGACTCAGTAGTCCAGGTGAGAAATAAAGGGTGTCCTAACAGTCGCATGGAAGATGAAGAGAAGCAGATGTATTTGGAGACAGAAGGGGAAAATCTAATTGATTTTTCTGACAGGTGGAAGGAGAAAAGAGAAGGACCACCCCTTGCATTCTGACCTGGGTAGGTGATAGTGAGTGCCACTTCTTGAAGGGGCAATATAGGATTGTTAGAAATGGTCTCTAGATTTAAGTTTTCCCATCACATCAGACCAACTGCTCCTCGTGGATCCTGGAATTAGCTTTGATATACACTAGTGAAAACAAATTATGAGAGCTTGCTCTTCCAAGAAATCAACACAGGTTCACAGTTGATACAACATTGTTTTTATTGGGGATTCAAGGGACATATGACAAAGTCTCATAAAATGTCAACAAAGTCACATTTTGTGCTTGGCTACTCTTTAAAAAAAAAACAAACCCTGCTTATTTATGAACTCATTAATGAGAACTGTGCGAGATGTGGCCAATAATCACCATTTTGAAAACAGGACAACCCGAGCCACAAGGTCTATGTCAGACAATGCCAGATTTTGATGTGGAAATTTACAACAGTCAAATATGCAGGTACTTCCAAACACCTAGATGTTTGTCCTTAAGTAGACCCAGCTTAACTGACCCCTTCAAGATGGAAGTACCCACTGAACCTCTGTGTTATTCAGCAGACCACTTTATTAATCATTACTAAATGCCAACTAAATGCAAAAGAGCTGGTAGAGAACAGTGATATTTCCTCAATTCTAGCTTTTTAGGGCTGAAGTATCCTTGAGTTAGTTACAAGGATAAGTGAGGATTAAAATAGCAAATAACCATTGATATTTTTCAAAAACATAAGGACTATTGAAACAGTCACGTATAAATATTCATGTGGAAGCACTTAGGAATACATACTGTGCATGAAATTGGATAAGAAAATGCTCATTAGAAGATCTGGTTTGTTTAGGTGAGCTAAGAATTCCAAATAACTTAAGGATATCATTGAAGACATTATACACATAACTTGAGCCATTAATGTTCTCTGGGGATAGATCATTGACAGTTGCTACGTCAAAAAGATGCTAGTTCATAACTGGCTTTTTTTCATGTTGAGGTGGGAAGCCAAAGAGATGCAAAATTGAAGTAATCTACTAAGTGCGGTGCTCCCTTATCACCCAGAGAGAATGCCTTCCTTGATCAAACTCAAGTTCATCCTTCATTTAGGCAGGGTGGTATACTTTAAGAGCCTCTGAGAGGAAACTGGGCAGCCTGGTTTCTGGACATAGCCCTGTCAAACGCAAATGCGTGATCTTCTGTAAGTCGCTCTAACTTTGATTTGTCATCTGTAGAAAAGCACATCGCAACAGATGACCCTTAAGTGCCCCCCCTTTTTAATTCTCAAGAATTTGAGATTTTCTGCAGAACACAGTGAACAATTTACTTAACATCTGGCAAAAAACAGTAAAAGCCAAAACAAAAGCCAAAAATGCCAATAAGCTCTATTTTCCAATTCTTTCAATTTTCTATCATGAAAATTCTTTCCATCATTCTAACATGATTTGAGCAGAAAACTGAAAAAAAAAACCTGACGGGATAACTGAATAATGTAGCTATTTGTTTACCATAAAAAACGATCAAGGAATATTTAAGTGGTAATACTGCAACATTGATCACAATATTGTGACTTAGTGCTTTAGATCATGAGATTTGCAATCACAGTTCTGAATAAGAACCCTGTATATGGTAGTTTGGCTAGTTACTTGACCTCCTTAAACCTTATCTTTTAAACAAGGATAATGCCTATTTTGCAGGGTTGTTCTGAGTTGCAGGCTTAAGTGAGTTCGTATGTAAAATGCTTAACATACAGTAAGAACTCCAAAAATACCAAGTATTATTGAGTTAAGAGAAAAATCGTAAATTCTCATATTACCACCAATCACTGTCACTTGCTTTAATGGTAAATAAATCCGATGATGATTCTAGGTGACACCCAGGGTGAGAGAGAGGAGGTGTGGTGTGAAGTCCTTACTGTATATGCATATTTACACTGGCATTGAAAGTCAACTAGACATGTATAGTCATAATTCCCTAAACTCACCACATAGATTCCTTCTTCTATGGCTTTGCTCACAATATTGCATTCATTTAAAGGACTCTATTTTCTCTTTCCTTTCCATTTATCTGAATCTTTAATATTCTCCTTCTTCTTCTTCTTCTTCTTCTTTTTTTTTTTTTTTTGGTAAATAGGCTCCATGCCCAATGTAGGGCTTAAACTCACAATCCTGAGATTAGGAGTCACACGCTCTACCAACTGAGCCAGACAGGTGCGCCTAAATCTTCAACATTCTTTAAGATTCATCTTTTATTTTCCTCCTTTGGGAACTCTGTTCCCTAAACAGACTAGTTTTGCCAGATAATGGTGACTTCCTCCAAGCTCTTTCTTTATATCTTTTGTTTTGTTGTGGTCTTAACATCTATAGACCTGATTTGTTACGATCTTTTCAAAAGTTTATGTATCCCTGTAGAACTAGATTTACACTCTTCAGAAGCAATGACCATGTCTTCGGAACCTATCTTGCTTGATTAAAAGAATAGTTAATTGGTTGGTGTCAGGTGGGATACGGTGGCATTTTTCAGTTGCCTTATGAGTTTCCACCGTTATTTTAGCCTTTGGGTTGCCTCTGACTACCTTGTTATTTCAAAAGTACTTTATATTCCTTTATGTCACTCTTCAGATCAAACCGTGTGTGGGCTAGAAATCAACCTACTTACAGCATTAATTTTGTTCCTTAAAACATGAACACATTTGTGCAATTTTCTATTTTAAAAATTGGTGCATTAATAAGCATATCCATACCGGGGAGATATTTTAGAAATGAATGTCCCACTGAATTAAAATACAAACAGAGGAATACACACGAGGAAGGGAAAGTCCTTGGCTCTTTAGGAATCTAGATGTCACTGTGAAGTTTTTTCCATTTCTTGAAAAGATTGCCTCGTATTCTGGGAGTTCTATTGCCTGAAATTGCATCCTTTGGGGGTGATGCTTAGCAGGAGAGGTGTCTTCAGGTGATCATTTCCTTTGTTTCAACTTCATAGTTGGCTTGAGCATCCCCCAGTGTAGCTGTGTCCAGTGCCGTTTACATCCTTTCACTGGGGAGACCTTCCTGAGAAAGGGGACTATAGGACCAGCTGAAAGGAACGTCAACACAACTAAAAAAATAACAGAACATGTCACAGAAAAGTTATCACATTGACTCTTTTGTAGAAATAACTAAACATGAGGATCCTCGGGGGGGCATGCTATTTCTAAGTACACACGAAATGCGACATCACCACACAAATGTAGCGCTCTCTCACTGTTCACGTCGCTGGAGGAGCAGTCAAGCCACAACACTGCTTGAGTGTGCGAGCGCCCCACGCTAATCCCTCGGGGAGGAAACACTCCGTAAGAAAAGCTTCAGGTTTATCCAACAGACAACTTACTGAAATAGGACATGGAGGAAGAACGACAAAAGAACGCAGGACATTAAGGACAAATTCAAAGAACTCCAAAGACTAAAAGCAAAATAAAATGATTGTGGGGACAGAAGGGCTTAGCAATGCAGAGGCGAGTGAAGTCACTGGAATTGTTGGGAATTAATGTCAGTTTCTTGTATCTGGCTTTATAGGTCTAGTGCCTGGCTCAGAGCACTTCCATTGTGCCCCATGGAAGAAAGAAGGAAAGGAAGAACAAAAGGGAGGGAGGAAGAGAGAAGTGGAACAAGGAAGGAAGGAAGGAAGGAAGGGAAGAAGGAAGACAGAATGCAGGTGGAAGGAAGGAAAGAAAGCAAGAGAGAAGAGAAAGGTTTCTGAAATGCACACATGGCCGAGACAGAGCGTGCAGGGAGGAAAGCAGGGTGAGAGCTCATTCAGAGACTTGGAAGCCAGGAAGAGCAGGCTTGCTTAATTCAAGGAGAGATTATACATTCGGAGTGGCTCTGGAAAATAGGGCAGGGCAATTTTCAGGAGGTTTTGAGCATGTTAAGATTTAATTTGGGAAGCATGGTGGGTTAATGTGACTATTGTGGGTTTTGAAGGGAATATTAACATGATTCAGATGAATCGAGTGGAAAGGGAAACGTGGAACTCAAAGGCGTCAACCCAATGGGGTAAAACAAAACCACGCTGTAAGAAATTAAATGAAGGCAGAGGGACCAAAGAATATGGTCTTAAAATAGAAAGGCAGGTGCTTGTCTGGGTTTCTTCTGCGTTAATGCTGAAGGACATGGGCTTAGAAGTCAGATCAAGAATTTCCTTCTCCCACTGTGTAGCTTTTTTCATTCTTCAGCTGTTCCTCTTTTTTGTCACTGCCCTTCCTGAAAATGAACTTCAGCCTTTACTGTTTTAGCAGCAAGGCAAAATACGTTAGTAAATAAGGCACCTGGAGGTGGAATCAAATATAACCTTGAAAGACAACTGTTGGTACAAACGGACTTCGGATTCAAGGGTCTTGGAGTTGTTCTTCTATTTCTGTATTTGAGAGTAGCTTCAAAAATTCTTAAAGCTGTAAAAACATTTAGAGACCAACTAATCCAACCCACTCATTGTGCAGAAAGGATATTTGGAGAGAGCTGTATTAATGTTTCTTTTATTCTACGGAAGTTGTTATGAATGAGATATACTTTGCAGGTGGATTTTAATTTAACTAAAGCCTTTATTGTCAGGCTCTTCATTATGCCAGCACAATGAAGAAGCATAATGAGTTACACACAGCCAAAAGGATATACTACCCCATATCACAGATCTGCCCTAAACACTTGGAATATATTGAAGATGGGTCTCTGGATGGCAGGTGTATTTGTTTTCTAAAACCTAATCAATAGCCCAGTGTTACATATGGTTAACAGGTATTTTTCTGTTCTGATTGAGCGTGCGACACCTGATCCTGGGTGAGAAATTAAAAATGTATCTTACAGATTTTAGAACCATATTTTGTGAACATGGATTGGGAAGGTGGGGTGCAGAGCTCTTGATACACATGGGTAAGACTCATTTGTGAATAAATTATACTGTTCTTGGAGTCAGGAAGGATGCTGTGCACAATTTTGTGGTGACCCCTGTGGGCAGTGTCATAATGGAAAGTCCTTGTATACATGAGCAAATGAAAGGTAAAGCAATGCATTGCTTTGGGGGTGTATAGATACAGCCCATGCAAAATGTCCCTTTTATTAACATGGGCCCCATCATTAAAATATATTTTGCAGAATAAATAGTAGAAGAATATGAACCACCGTATCTTGGTGTCTATTATGAGTTCAATGTTTAACAAATCAGGCTTCTTTGGGGCCTCTGCCTACTTAATTGGAATGAGTAATATCTTGTATCATCTCAACATGAGCCTCCCTTGAAATCCTTTCTGTCTCCCCAAAGTATAAGCATAAATTGGGACCCTTGTGTAGCCTGGCTCAGGGTCCTTCTGTGATCTGATGGTAATGATTCTCCAAATTTGCATCAAGAGCCTCTTCACCTACTGGGCATATAGCAAGTGCCAAGCACCAGGCTGACCAATCCACTCACTGTTTCACTGCCTGGGTTTTTCCAGCTCCTTGGTGGGGAGGGGGTCTTCAGTCCAATGGAACACCATGTTGAGACACCAAAAGGGAAGTTGATGTTAGTGTGTAAATGACCTAAGTTAGCAGAGTTTCAGTGATTCAGCATGCACCATGCAAAATGGGGGGAAAAGTGGAAAATAAGTTGTTCATTACGATTTTGGTTACTTTGATTAAGTTAAAATGATCTCTGCCCAAAGCCATTTCCCTGGCATTTTATCTCATCCCAGTAAAGGAAATGGATTTCTTATGAATAAGATTTACTACTCTAATATTCTCCATTACTTCACCAATTGTCCAAAGTCTGAATGAAGACTAAATCCGTCAAGAGCAGGCAATATTTTACAACTAATTCAAGGGTCCACAATGACAACGTTCTTAGAGATCATTACTTTCCAATATCTGGGTCACACACGTTCATTCATTCTTGCACGACAGCACAGACCGTAGAGCTCTTGTGTTCTTATATTAATTAGCAAGGACTTTTTTTTGAAAGCTGATTTTAAGAACATTCTACTCAGGAGCCATTTCAAACGATGAGAAATGCCCATGGGAAAAAAAAAAATCTCAAGTAGGCAACATGTAAAGCAACACACAACTCTGTGCACATTAGTATAATTACACATTGCAAATTATATCGGATGCATCTAATATCTAATTTTTTGAAAGCTGATTCCACTTGAGATTTCAATAACAGCATCAACATTTTGCAGGTGGCTCCCTCTCTATAGTATCCAGAGGGAATTATTCCTCTAATGCGCTTACAACCCTCAAGTAAAAGCCGAAACTCTCCCTGAAAGGACCAATGAACAATGAAACCGGGAATATTACCTTGATAGATTAGGCAGGGGAGGGGGGCGATTCCACCAAATATAATATTCAGCATGGCTATTTGTCCTATGCCTTCTGTGCATAGGATCCTTATTTGCGTCAAGCAAGAAGCAGCAAACTTAAAACACGATCCTTATTAGAAAATGTGGAGGCGGCTTCATACATATATTCTGAGGCAATGATATGAAAAGCGAAGGGGCTGACGAATTTTTAGAACACCTGATAAAAGAGAAATGTGCAACCGAACGGAGGATTACACCTTTGACCGAAAACAGAGAGCCCTACGTTAAATTCTGCTCTTCTAGAACACAGGATTAATTTATCCCAAAGAGGGTGCCAGATCAAAGCTCCATTTTGAGGAACAGGCTTTTGTCCCCATCCTTCTGTATGAATCAATCCATTATCAAATAACCAAATATATATTTGTGATCTGGGAGAATGGGGCATATTATTCAAGTTGATTGGATCCATTTTCTTGATTCCTCCTTAAAGATCTTTCTGCTAATTAGTCAGGGTTACTATTGAATTATTTAATTATCTGCACTTTTGTGCAATGAAATATGTTGTCATATCACATACTTTATCATGCTACTGCTGTTCACACTTAATGATGCCTCTCTAGTTAGCAGTTTCCTTTGTTCTGCTCAGTAAGTGGTTTTAGAAAGGGGGTGGGCTGGGAAGGAGGAGCCTTGGGGTTTGTAAAATAAAATCATACATTCCTGGTGCACATGCAAAACTTTATGCATTTACATGAATCTCTTTTTAGAAATTAAGTTGCAATTCCATTTGGAATAAGCGAAGAGGCACATGTCGGTGGCTTCGAAGGCAGCTGGAACGATATTACTATACCTTGGACATCTCTCCAGTGCATTTCCACTGCAGTGCAATGGGGAAGTGATTTAATTTTTTTTTTTTTAATCAGCAAGGAATGTCTTTAACAAGGAAGAAGTAAATTATGATAATTACTCTGAATGGTCGGATCCTTGAGCATTACTAATTAGCATTTATTGCCTGGATTATAGAACAATACATGTGAAACCGAACTGCGACTGCTCTTTTATGTTGAAGAACTGAAAAAGGCAATGGAGCAAAGAAGGCAGTGTCGTCAGGACTAGTCTGGTGCTTTGCCTCTCCTTGAGACTGGGCAGAATCCCGCACTTGTGAAATACACAAATGTGGCCCTCGGTATCTCTGGCCCATCCATTTTTTGTGTTGGGCACATATATACGTATGATATCATAGTCATGAGAGACTAATGAGGGAGAAACATTTTGGTTATGATGTCATTTGGGGACAGTTTTACCCATTGTGAGAGTTTAACAATAACGGGCACGAAACTCGCCGTTTCAGAAAATATACATTCTTCTGTAGGAATTTTGGCTTAAAAAATTGAAACAAAGAATTCAGTTCTTAGTGGAAAAAAAAAAATTCACGTTCACCTCCCCACTTTCTCTTAGAATGACCACAGTTGCAAATAATTGAGAAGTGATTGGTGTGTGGCATGAGACCGGTTTTTGTTGTTGTTGTTGTTGTTGTTGTTGGTTTTTTTTGGCATAAGCCATTTGTAATAAAATAGATTCTGAAATTAGAAATAAATGAGATATTAATCAACAGGGCAACATCAGTCATGTAAATAAATGCCACTCAAATAATCTGGCAACTGAAATTGCCAAATAACCCAGTAGGTAGAAGAGAAAGAGAGGAAAATTAACCATCCATCACCCCCGCCCCGCAGTCTCACGGGTTCCTCCACACCCCACTACAGCAAATGAGAAAAGGACATGGTAAAATATAAAGCCAGTACTAAATACAGTCACTAGTCTTCCCAATACCTTCCATGGATTCCACGCCCCCCCCCACCCCGATCCTTTTTAGTTTGAAAGAATTAAGTTTGACTAAATCTGTGAGGAGATTAAACAGGCTGGTGATAAAAATTAATTCTGCTGAATGAGCAAATGCATTTGGATGGCAGAGATGCAAATAAGATAATACTTTTCTTTTCCTTTGACATACCAAGCGGATTAGTTTAGAATGTTAAATTTGATTTTATTAGAATATATTAGCAGTGTTTTAATTAATACCAATCAAACATTTTCTTTCCCTGGGGCTTGATGTGTTCCTAACGCTTTCTAAATCATCTGTTTTTTCTCCATCAAAAACCACCCCCCTTCCAAATTACCAAAGCCTTTTGTTACGTTCTTCATCATTTTACTGTATTCGACAGAAAACTGTTTACCTAAAGGTGTCTTGCCCATAAAATTAGCTCCCAGGTGCTGGATTTAAAATGAGCACTGTTCATTAGTCCTGTTGATTTTTTTTTTTTTTTTAAGTAGAATTAGAGACTCAAAAATAAACATCTTCTGTGTTTTTCTTTTGGGGAAAAATGTTGCAAAAGGAGTTTTGGCTGGTTCGTATTACTTGGCTTTCTTCTCAGTGGAGCTTCCTAGAGCTGTTAAATTTCCAACGGAATTGGGTTTGAGCTGGAACTTCTTTGGAAACAGAGGCAAAAAAAAAAAAAAAAAAAAAAAAGGAGGAGGGGGAGAACCTAGTTAAAAATATGGTGAACCAGTATGCCTTGTGAACTGAATTGTAACTGTGTGTTCCAAGGAGGTGCTGCATTGCCCTGCACTCATTATCCACGCCTTTTCTCTCAAGCTTCCTGTCCTTCTGTGTCCGAAAGCTCCAGTTCACGTCTTTTTCTTTTCTTCCCGCAACGCAAACCGCCCCCACCCCAATTCCCCGCCTTATTTTTTTTTTTTATCTGCCAAGCTGGATTTGCACTTTTAAAGATCAGTATCAATAATGCCCTGCTTGTTTCGGTTGCGTTCCCCCTTTAAAAGACAGCGCTCTCTAATTGATGCGTCTGGGCTAGTCTAGACTGGTAGTGATTGAACCAACCACCAATTATGTTATTCATTTCACTGAACTTTGCTGATGGGCTCCATGAGGAAGAAGGGGTGTTGAGAAACCTGCCCTTAACACTGGAGCAGTCCCCGCTGAAATACAAAAATCCCGTGTGCCGTTGTGCACTCCCCAAATGCCCGTGTGATCGGTGGTGGTAGCAACCTCAGGGCATGAGCAATCCACTTGAAAACATGTGAAAAACCGAAAGAGTGCCTTGGAATACAAACTGTATCACTTGTATTAAATTACTATCCTGTTACCCTTCAAAATCGCAGAAGAATGATATCCAGCATGTTTTTATTGGCCCGGGCATACATTTTCATAGAATTAACTGCAGATACATTTTGACTTAGTAAAGCACCAAATGTTTTGCAAACAGTTGATATGAATCATGTGATAACATATATCCATAAGTTAAATAGACCCCTTTCCACAATTTCCAAATACCTATGCACACACATCCGCTAAGATGGGGAAAAATCATTAATAAATTGTACGGAAACCAAAGGATCACTTGAAAATCAAGTAACTCTTTTCTCTGAAGCATATCCAGGCTACCAAAGGCTGGAAAATAATATTTAAATAGTACAACTACACAAGAGGTTTCAACAAAAGGCATGGTTCAATGGTTGCACGGTTCATTTTCTCGAATCAGTTTTCTGATACAAAATGGTTTCTTGACCACGATTTGGAGTCATTGACTGAAATTGCAATAAACACTTAAAAAAAATGCACAGGAAAAGAACAGTTTCCTTAACCTTCGACTACACGTATAAAATGAGGTTACAGCCAATATAGAGTCTTTAAAGGAAGAAAGCATTTGAAGTCAGGACTGATTTAGGTCTTTTCCAAAAATAGAAGATAAGTGTTGGCTCAAGGATACCAAAGCGGTTTAAATAAAATTGTATATTGGAATTTTTCGCAACAAAGGAAAGGTAAGTTCCTGCTTCTCTTCTTCAACTATGAGACAGATCTGAATCACTAAAATAATTCTGTCACGAAAAGTTACGTTTTCAGAAAACTGCAAACTAGGTAAACAATTACCTTCAGAGAAGATTATTTTAAATATACAGTTTGGCATTATAAATAACTTTGCTGGATTGAATTTAAATCCTGATAAATTTTTTCCAATCTTTAAATGAAGAATAATAGGCACTGATTACTCCCAAAGATACAATAATTGCATATGTATGTGTGCCCTTGTTATTTCTTTCCATTTACGTATTTAGAAAATATATTTCCAATCCCTATTGCTTTTAAACTTGCGGTGTATAACATTTTAAAACAGACGCCCAGCAAGGAGGCTACATCGCTCCTCTTATTTTTTTAAAATCTTGCAAAGTAATACAAATTGAATCTTTATGAACACCGTAAATTTCATCCTCCGCGTAGACTAGCAAGAGAAGAATTTTTAGCCTATTAATCTTTTAGCCCAAACTACTGGTTTGCCCCCATCTGCGTCTGCGTGTTCGCTGTCTAGCCATATATGACACATACATGTGAGTACTGAATGTGTAACATGTCCACATGCCCATTTTAATTGGACACAATTTTAAGATTAACTGTTGAGTTTAAAAGTTGGAGGCACGGGGCATGCTGGGACTTCAGCTAATATGTTCTGAGGTCAAGCACCAGGTACTGAGCTGTTCTTGTTACGCTCTGATAGTACTGCGTGTTGCTCTCAAGAAACAGACCATGGGAGAGGAGTTCCACAAGCCTCGGGCACCGGTACTGACACACACACAGAGCAGCCAACGCGCTCCTCTAACAGAATGTATATATACCTACTTGAACAGAAATCCAGGAGCTGCCACTTTCTGGTCACCTGACCGCATCTAACAATGCAAACCTTAGAGGTGCACTCAATCACTTCTGAAAACTTTCTTTTCTTTTGTTTTTGCTTTAAAGAAAAAAGTTCCACCAAAGGTCCAGGATGACAAGGCACGACTCGCAGCTCCCAAGAGCCTAACCCGTGGATTTAAACGGTAAACATCACAAGTTAGGGTCTCAGGGATTGAGAGGAGCGCAACAAATTGTTCCTTCTTGAGACAAAGCAAAGCAAAACGAGAATGACAGGCAATTTCTGTTCCAGGTTCATGACCAAAAGGCACCAAACAGGTGGCAGGCAGGGTACTCCCTCGCTCTCGAAGCTTCCTTAGGTCACAGAATTCAGAGTCCATGTAAATAGAATATATTCATACACACACATACGCAGGATCTGTGGACATAGATACATACCTGAACACAACCACCGCGTGTCTATCACAGAAAACTCTTGGAAGCTTTGGGCAAAACAGTTTGACTAAAATGAAAAATAATGTGCATAGCCCGAGAGATGCTGACGTTTTTTTAAAACCAGGGTCTAAAATAAGGATAAAATGCCCTTTCAAAGCTTGAACTTACGACCAGCGCGGCTGACGGTAAGGAAAATATGAGGCGGCTCTTTCCCTCTGGCCAAGCATGCCGCATGCAAAATCACAGACATCAGGCTTTCTTTCGGAAGGAGAAAACCAAGAAGGAGGGTTCGGAGGCCATGAAAGTATAAATACGAACAGCGTTTTAAACTCACCCTTCGGAAGCGGAGCGGGGCTGCAGCCTCCCATGACACCATTCCGAGCAAGGGGGGGAAATGCGAGCTCGCAGTGCGCTGGCCTGGGCGAGGTGTTTCAATAGAGGACCGACCACGGGGCGGGGAGGGGAGGCGGGGGCAGGAAACGCTACACCAAATCTAGAGACTGTGACTCTGTAGTTTATGCTTTGACGAGGGAGGGGAAAAAAAAAAAAGGCAATTTGGTGGACGTGCAGGGAGGGGCTGGGACGGATCAAATTTTGAAAATATTCGGTTAAAATTTTTTTTTAAAATGCTTTTCTCTTTCTCTTTCTTTCTCTCTCTCTCTTTTTTTTTTTTTTAAAGAATGAGAACCCTCCCCAGAGCTGCTTTTAAAAAATTTCTTCCTTCTTCCTGCAGCGTGCACTTTGCCAGTCGGTCCTGCGAACGGGGCCTCAGCTGCATCAGCTGCTTGGCTGAAACCAAGGCCAAATCAGGCAGAGGCAGCACCGGGCTGTCATTTGGGAAGCGAGGTGGGAAGGGGTGGGTGCAGGCTGGGGAGATCCGTCTCCCCCGCCCCACTCCCGCCGCCAAACCTTTGGAGCCTTTTGCCAATATTTCAGAGGAATCCGAAGCCCAAGTCCCCTCCATCTTCGCAGAACCTACCGGCTCTGTACCTGAGAGTGGCTTTTCCCCCGTTCTGACTGGAAGCAGAGCTTTTCTGTGCCAGGGGCTCCTGTGTCGCCTCCAAAATCCAAAAGGAAGGGAGGGGAACTGGGTGGGTAGATGACTCTTTTAGATTTTTTCTTCCCTCTTTTCTCTTTCTCTTCCTTCCTCTCTCCCTTTCTTTCCCTCTCTTTCTCTCTCTCTCTCTCCTCCCTTCTTCCCTCCCTCCCTCTCTTCCTCCCTTCTTTCCTTCCTTCCTTCCTTCCTACCTTCCCTCTTTTTTCCTTCTTTTATTCCAGCCTAAGCAAGGTAGATGGCTGGCTAGTCAAAGAGAATGACAAAGCAGCCCCTGGGAGGAAGGCATTGGAAGGGCCTCCGGCACTTGGTAAAAATGCTAAATATTTCGTGTATATTTCCATATGCAGCTAAAAACCATTAAAGCTCCAGGCTCTTCCCCCGTCTCCCCCCTCTTGCAAAACAGAATCCTAACAGCCAAGACAGCTAAATTATGCCTCCTTTACCTCTGCACAGGGTCTATTCAGCATCCCCACCCCCCCATCTTCAAGACAACTTTTTTTTTTCTCACCTCTGGAGGTTCTTCTCAGGCACGATCCGGTTCAGTTCAGGGTTTCTCCTTTCTCCCTCACTTTCCTTTTCCTCCCAGAAAAGCTAGTCCGTCATCAGCCTACCTTGCTTCTCTCTCTGTCTCAGCCTCTCTCTCCCGTTTTCTTTTACTATTAAAAATAATAATAATAATGGCCCTTTCGACATAGCAGCATGAAGTGGCTGCCTTTGAGAAAGCACATTTAATCTTTGCTGGCTCCCCTAGGCTTCAGTGAAGAAGGAGAAGGCAAGAAAAAAAGGGAGAGAGAGAAAAAAAGATTGTAAGGGAGGCTGCTGACGGACAGCAAGCATCAGGCACAAATCAGCGACAAGTTGAATTTTCCTAGACCACACTGCCCCCTTTCTTCTCGGCTCTCTCCCTGGGCTCCTGGAAAGCCTGAGTGTCTGGTTACAGGGTCTCCTTTTGCCAACCATGGTGCAGATTCCTCGCATGCTTGCTTCAATCTCTGGCAGAATAAGGAATCAATATCCCCCTCTAATCACCTTTCGCTCTTCCACGGCTTCCCTCCTTTTCTGAGAATCCACTTGGCTCTCCCCGCCACTCCCCCGCCCTGCCAGGCCCCTCCATACAAAGCTTGCCGTCCTGTCATTTCCCACTTCCTTCCATATCTTGGAGACAAGCCTCCCTTCTAATATCCTCTCGCGCTCACTCCCTCTCACCGTTGTATGTCTCACCCTGACTCGCAGCCCCGGATGCATGAAAGCATCTTTCTGACTACTAATGAGACCAAAAATACACCAGCAGGTCAGGGGGAAGGCCAGACATTGTATTATACAAATACAGAAAAATCCTCAGCCTGCTAGACCCAGAGATCAGGTATCACGCTTTCTAGAAGGGAGGGAAAAAAAAAAGGGGGGGGGGAAGGAGTGACGAAGAGAGACCACAGTGCAGTTCTCTGCCTAATTGTTCCGCATCCCACGAGCATCTAAAACACCTAAGCATGTTGGAGTGCATGTGTACGTTTCCTGCATCTTGGTGGGTTTTCTTCACGGACGGAAAGTCAACAGTGCCCAAATACTTCTTTGAAATCGGCATGTAGAGGGATAAAAGAGCAGGGATTCGAATCTATATTTAAAATACGCACTTTCTTCGGGCGTGAGATGACTACAATGCTTGAAGTCTCTTTCCTTTCAACGGGAGGCTTTGCTTGCTGACTCTGTTTGCTGTATGTACTAATTTACCACTTACGTGCCCGTGGATTTTGAAATGAACTCATCAGTCACTGTAGCTCATACTAACCCTCTACTTCCACTGCAGACATTTTCCTTCTTTCTGAAGGGTTTCTCCTCAAATGTCCATCAGATACATACACACTCCATTGATCAGCCTAAAGCCCCTTGATAATGATAAGTAATCATTCCGATGACAAAAAAAGTGGCACAAGATAAAAATGAAAGACATCCTGGCTTGAAGAGGGGAGCCTCTCCCATCATGTCTGTTGGCGTGTGTTTTCAAAGCTCGGCTACACGATGATCCCGGAAAACAGGTAGCTCCTGATAATTGGGGTCTCTACCTATCTATACACACAGTGGGTATATGGCCATCTTCACCGATTTTCCTGGCTAGAATCACGCAGACAACGGGCCTGTGTGAAGTGTAAGGCTGAGTTCTGTAAATAGCAAGAAAGGGAGGGAGGCATCTGAGGATGCAGGTTTCCTCTAAGTCGATGTTTTTTAAAGGTAGCTTCTTTGTGCTCAGTTCAGACACTGTGCTTTGTCTCTCACTGTGAGACCTGCAGAAGCACAGCTGGAGGCCAAGGAAAAGGAGAAGGAAAAACACAAATGAGGAGACACAGAGAGAGGAAGAAGGGAAAGGAGAAGAGAGGAGAGGAGGGGACGGGAGGGGAGGGAAGAGGAAGGCAGGGGAGGGGACGGGAGAAGATATCCAAGCAAAAAGAGACTTATAATCATAGTGTTGGATTCCCTTTAATACTTTTATTTTCTTTCCTTTTTTCTTTTCTTTTCTTTCTTTTTTTTTTTTTGTCATTATTGGGAAGGAGAAAGAGATGGTTGGCAGGCTTGGGGACTGGGTTAGAATCTTTTTCAGATTTGGCTAATAGTGTGTTTGCACTAGACTGATGAGAAAAAAAGAAACATGCTAGTATACTCATAATGGGTGGAGCTGTCAAAAAAAAAAAAAATCTTTGACTCACTGGGTGCCTCCCTGTACCGCCAAAATGAATCATTCCTAACCAGACTCACCAATTGTCTTAGTGTGCTTGCATATGAAGGGCAGATTATGGGACCCCTGTCCTTCCACTCATCTTCAGAAAGGAAAGGTAAACAGAGGATGAAATTTCCCCAGACTCTCCAAAACCTCCCTACCATCGCCACAACAGTTCAGCATGATTTTCATGTGCTGAGCCGATCTACCCCGGTCAGTATTCGCTCCACTTACAAAGATACACAAATATATGAGTTATGAAAGTTTTGCTCTGAACACATCATTTCTCTATACAACTCAGCGATGTCTTTGGAGGATACTTATTTCAAGCAGTTAACACCTGACCCCAATTTCTGTGGGTAATTAGTGAGCTAGATAACCACACAAAGTGGGTAATTACTTAGTACCCAAGGGTACGCTAGAAGTGGGTAGTGGTTTTGTTAACAAAAGCACATCTCTAATTATTGTATCTATGATGGGTGTTTTAAAAATACCAGTGACTATAGCAAGTGAACCGTGATAAATAAGTGAACTATTTTGCTGTCCTTAGCATATACATAGGTATATTCCATCATGGTTAATAATATTTACCTCTCTTGCACGGATTAATTAGTTAACATCTGTACGACTCTCAGAGATCAGATGTGCTAGAGAGTTTCTAAATACAGTATTACTACTGTTATTACTATCTTGGCTAATAATCCCAGGATGAGAGAAGCTTAAGGAGTGGCAGCAACAGTCTGGTCTCCGTCTTGGTCTGAAAAAATGCCGAGATTACAAATGTAATGAATTTGATTGTGGGGAGTGGTCTCCTACCTGCCCGAGTCTAACACAGGTGATACAAGAAATGAAAGGTAAATGCCATTTCATTGACAGCTGGCTCAGGAGGGATCTGAGGAGTCAGGGCAGGAGATGGGGAGAGGGAGGAGCAGAGGGAAGGAGTCAGGGATGGGCCGGGAAGGAATCTGAATCAGCCCGACCACACCCTCCTTCCAAAGTCCTTCTAGCCTTTCCTTTGATGAGCAGCAAATATGCACAAAAATCCTCAAAGAAGACATCCATGCAAGTGCTGGGACAAATTCATCATAATTACAATCAATCAGCCAGATAGATAGTATTTATTCTGGAGAAGAACAATCAGTAAAATTACTTTAACAAATGCAGATACATTTTAAAATATTACAGTGTTGAGAATAGGCACGCACAAATCAACTTCAGATATTTTTAACCCCAGATACGAACATCAATGAAGAAACACTTTCTAATTCAATTGCTTTTCTGAATCAGCCCCAGGATGGGAACAGGATAGTATTTATTTCTGCTGAGAAAGAAAGAAAAGAAAAAGAAATGAAGAGGAAAGGCGAAAAATAAAGAAAAGAAAGCCTCATGCCTTTAGGGGCCTTGATTCTGGAGAGCAACTATGCCTCGAAAACAAACAACAACAAAAACTTACTGCTTCTTTCTCTGTCAATGTCCATCTCCTTGAGCCCGCTGTCTGGTGTCTGGCTGAAGCAGGACAGACAGAGGCTTCTGAGATCCAAATCTTCTAGGAGGCTCACCACATTTTTTCTTTCAAAGCAAGGTTGTCCTGGGGATTAACCCTAGGAGTCTGGGAGATGGGAAGCATGTGGGAAGGGTAAAGGGAAATATGCAAAAATATTGTATTCAGCCCCGGTTAGGATGTCTAGGGAGCAGGAGAGGAGAAGGATCCCATCAGTCAGCCAACAGGTACCACGGCCGAAACCTCTGCTGGAGGGCGATCTCCAGGACACGTGTTTATGCTGTGATTGGAGGCCAGTGGTGTGATGAGCGGATTTTAAGAGTTTGGGAGCAGAGGGAAATTTTCTCCAAAAGCCACCCAAGCCAGGCTTCTGACCTGAAGCCCAGTATTCGTCACCCCCTCTCTGAGCTCAGAACTACAAAGGCTGACTGGCATTCCCCAACCCGCCCAGCTCCTTTCAAACCCACAGACTGTGCCAGACTGGCCCCACCTCCCACTGCAGCAAATTCTGTAGCCCTGTTTCATGCTGCGCTGTAAGGAGCCAGATTTCCGTTTTAATTGTCCTACCTGGCCTTCCCCTCTGCCACTGCCCCTGGCTCTTGGTTCCTGGCACAATTTCAAAGGCCCCACCAATTGCTTTCCCTCCCCCACCATCATCGGAAACACCTCTCGTTCTCCCCTCCCCCAATTTTTACGTCTAAAATGTTTTTATACCCAGTACCTTCCTTCATCTTTGGCCCTCGCCATCCCTTTTCTTTGGTCTCCCGCACTCTCTAGTTTGACATTTTTTGGTTTTGCCATGTCATTAGAATTGCAGCTAGTGTTAGGGACTGAAAACCCAAAAGTCAGTGGCTCACATCTTCCTCTCCCTAACCCTCCCATATTAACAGAGCTGACAATCCAGTTCAACTCAGGGCATTTCCCAAAGCTCACCTAAAAAAAAGCTGAAGCCAGTAGAGAACAGGTGTGTGGATGCATGCATGTGTGCGTGCGTGTGTGTGTGTGTGTGTGTGTACACTGATCTAACTACACGAACGTAGTGGGAAAGTTCCCAATGGACATGCGGGGAAGGAAGAACTGAAGGAAGGAGTCGGGAATATTCATGGGCATTTAAGATAAAAGCAACAGAAGCTAATTTTTATAAGAACTTATGGGGGAAAAGGTTATATTTTTATTATGTATTTCTATGCATATGTATATAAACACAAACACGTATATAATCTGCATCGAGTTTCCATACATCACAATATCCTCAGATTATTAATTATCTGAAATGGTATATACCCCACCGTGAACAGCAACTGGCAGGGTCCACATGGGTCTATAGTTAAAATGTGAATATGAAAGCCTTCTGGGATGGATTGGAAGAGGAAGACAAATCCCGTAAGTCACCTGCCCTTCCCGGGCATTGTCTGGGCTTAGAAGCTGAGAAGTTCTGTAACACCTCCCCTAGCGGCCACCGTGAACTTGAAGCTCATCATTGCCATCCATCCCTCAAACGTTTGTGCTCTTAACCTCACGACTTAGGGACTCATTGCTTGAACACTGCAGTTCTGGTCTCCGTTACTCCTCCAGTAGCCGTCACTGATGTTCTTCTTTGTGACAGAGGTTTACAGATAAATAATATCTCATTTAGTCTCCCAAAGCCATCACCAGTGTTTTACAGAGGGAGGGAGTAAGATATGACATAGCTGGAATGGCCCAGCTCTTGACGGCACTGCTAGGACTTGAACCAGGTCGAACACCGCCAGCCTGGACTTTCCTCTGCAACATTATGTTCTTTGACTCATGTCTCAGTGTAACTAACAATTTCTACAGTCCATCCCCTCGAACTAGTCTAGTTTCTCCTTTGATGTATTTTCCACAGCACTCTGTACTTACTCTACCTTAACATTTATTCTTTCTTTTCATTGAGCTCATTTTGGCCAATAATTATTTAGTTAGTACTTGACTGTATGTTAGGCCCTGTGCTAGGCAGTGTCATTCCCTTAGCTGGAGGAGAGGAAGGGGGCCCTGCTGCTGGCACTGTGCATAGACTATGCTGTCTCTATCCTCATAATACAAGGTCAGTAGAGACAGTGGCTGTCACGTGGTCACTTTTGTGTTTCTGGTATATAGCACAGTATCTGGCAGGCAGCAAAAGATTTTTAATAAACTTGTACGCTGATGTGGCTTTGGTTGTAACGTTTTGAGAGAGCCAAGTTCATGTCTAAATAACCCTTGGAATGATGCTTAGTCTAATGCCACATAAGAGTAACATTTAGGGCATGTGGGTGGCTCAGTCATGATCCCAGGGTCCTGGTACCGAGTCCTACATGTGGCTCTCTGCTCAGTGGGGAGCCTTCTTTTCCCTCTCCCCATCCCCCACCCATGCCGTCTCTCACTATCTCTCTGTCTCTCAAATGAAAAATAAAATCTTTTTTCTTGTTACTTTAAAAAGTAACATTTGGGGCACCTGGGTGGCTCAGTGTGTTAAGCCTCTGCCTTAGGCTCAGGTCATGATTTCAGGGTCCTGGGATGGAGCCCCACATCGGGCTCTCTGCTCAGCAGGGAGCCTGCTTCCCCCCTCTCTCTCTGCCTGCCTCTCTGCCTACTTGTGATCTCTCTCTCTCTCTCTGTCAAATAAATAAATAAAATCTATTTTTTTAAAAAAGTAACATTTAATAAAGGGCAAATTACAGTCTTATTTGCAAAGACTCTACTCTGGCTGAGGTCCCACGGAGAGCCATGTTTGTTTGTGTTTCTGAAAAATAGCAAATTGGTCTGTTAAACTCATTCTAAATGTTCTGCAGTCATGCTGTTTCTGTTTGAAGCCAGACGAATTCTGTCTAAAATCTCCCTGATCTGTGGATTAGGAGGTAATATCAAGTGATAAAGTGTCCAAGATGACGTGGCTGTGAAGGACTATTCTGGGCTATATGCAGGGAGGGAGATCTCTTGCACTTTAAAGTGTGTGGGTAAGTCCAGATCTGAGATAAGCAACCCAGCTCAGATGCCCTCATTTCAGAAAAATGAGGCTGAGAAGCTCGAAATGGTTCGTGACCATAGGACCCAAGGCTCCAGAGTTTCATAATATGTATTGTGAAAAAAAAGGTTAGACATGTGCTTACTTTGCCTAAGGGAAGAATATTTAAGTATGT